GGTAGCAAGTCTGAGAGGAATTAGGGGATTTTGAATAACGGTGAGAATTTTTCATTAAACTTCGCACTGAATCCATTTTATTCTGAATTGTGAAACGCTCATATTGACAATGCTTGGCAATGAAGATGCGAATGTCTTTCTTACTCGTTGCAGCAACCTGCCTACCCCTTGGGCAAACAGCCTTTACTCATTTTCTAAAACCTTCTGTGCCATTGCTGCGTGAATAGGGAAGGTGTGGGTTTGGTACAAAGGTCCATGTGCAGCCTCTTTTTCACAGGGGCAGTTCCTTCCTCGCTGATCCTTAGCAGCAGCAGGTGTGGCTTTTGAGGACTTAGACATTGGCAAAGTAATAAGCATGCCCACAGTCTTTTTGCTGCTCTGGCCCCAGTAGTCTGCCACCCTAAACAGTTGACTGATTTGACTAAAGCTGTTCTTTCCCTGTATGTCAACATGTCTCATAGTGGTATTATTTTATGTTCTTAGCTCATATGTCATTGATTTTATTTCTGTAGGAAGGTAGTGCTCAGATTGGCCTTCCTGTACCCAAGTACCTATCTGCAGTGAGTTCGGTGGGAATGCAAAGTGGTGCTGTAGCCCCCATGACAGGCACAGTTGAAAAGGTAATTATAATAATACGGGTAGGAAATTAATTCTCCAATATATATCCAAGTTCACTCTTCCAGAAATGGTGCTTGCTTCTGTACTGCCAGGAAAGGATCAGGGCCAGAACGTCAGTGCTGAGTGGCTTCTCCCAACTGGAAAAAGCCGTTTACTCTGACTTTTCAGCAGCCATCCAAGAGTTTTTCAGGCTTATAGTCTTCTTTTTCTAGAGCTCTGGAAGATCTGAATATTTAACTAATCCTACTACTTAAATAATTTTTTCTTCATCTTAATTAATTCTAAGTCAAAATTCCCCAAAGTGTTAAAGGCTGTTTGATCCATTTCATCTAACCAGAAGACTGAGATGCTAGATGCACTTGAAAAAAAAGAAATAGTCAGAAATGCCTTTTTTGTTAAGCTGTGTGTTTCACTGCTGCTGTTTCTGTTTGTTTCTTTTTCTGTAGCTCAGCAAGTCTTGTGTATTTTTCTGTACAATGGAAAAGTTTCAAAAGAAAAGAGATTTCCAGGAGAGTTTAGTAGCTAAAGGATTCCACTAGCAATAAAAAGGCATGAACCCTTTCACAGGGTGGAGTACATTGAATATGGATCTCTTACATGCTGAGTGAACACTCTAAATCAAAGTTATTGCAGAAAAACTAGGTGGCTCCTGCAATCTTCTTTCTGGATTTAACAACTTTAGTGACTGACTCCAGGAAGAGGTTCTGAAAATAGAAGCTCTTAAGCCCGGAAAAGGTAGAATATACATTGTCTCTTCTAGTGTTTCTTCTTTGATACATAAATGGCTTCCTGGTCATCCTGTTAGCTGTTACTGAACCTCTTTCTATAGCCTCCGACTCCCCTTGGGTATTATCTACAGAACTCAGATACCCAGTTCAACAATAATAAAGATATTACGAGGCTGTTCTGCAAAACCACAATCACTCAGTGGATTGTGCTAGCCACGATCCAGCTGATGATTTTTAATGGTAGAGACATGCATGATTTTTTCCTAATTTTCTTTTGAATTGTAGGTGTTTGTGAAAGCAGGGGATAAGGTTCAGACTGGAGACCCTCTGATGGTTATGATAGCTATGAAAATGGAGGTGAGTGACATACAAAAGGTTTTAATTACTGAGAAAATAAAAATCTGGTCATAATTTAATTATTTGTGGTTGCATTATTGAAATATGGTGCAGATTGTAGCTTGCAGATGTCAGTATCCCTTTATATGCTGTAAAACAAGTGTTGTGTCTGACTAGATTTTAGAGGATTATATTTGCTGTTATTTTATTAACAAATGATGATTATATAATCCATGCTATTCTGCAGATGGTTTAACATTCATTTGGTTAGCTTCGTCAGTCCTTCTCTCCCTTCCCAAGAAATCAAGAATCCTTTCATTTTTATAGCACAAAACTGTCTAGGTATATCTCTTGCTCACTGTCTGTGATATAAGCATATGTAATGTCTGCAGTTACTTCATGCAGAAATCTAGCTAATGATGACTTTGTAAATATGCCCAGGATTTTTTTGTTTATAATCTTTTTGTTATTATTTACATAAAGTTTTACCAAGAGCACACTAAAGATTCTTTGTAATTGTCCACATAGCATTCAGTGGACTAGTATTTTGGCCATTATATCTTGTCACATTGCTTGACCATGGCTCAAATTGCTTGAATTATAGTTTTTTGTAGCCTGAACTGGTTTGGTTTGCCTATTAGTTTATTTTAAACTTCAGTTTGTGGTAACAGAATTAATGTTGTTGAGAAAATTTGCCTTTATCATGTCCTTTTCTAAATTGCACTAAAATTACATGAAATACAACAGCTGTGCACTAAAAAAATTACACCCAGAATTATTTGCGATTGAATGCTAAATGTTTGTGCCTCTCCAGCTGATATCTCAGACTGACATTATCTGAGGAGTTGTTCTTTTTTTTCAATGTTATTGAAATACAAAATGTAAAATTTAAAAAGCAAATTATTAAAGGAATCCTTGCTTAGATATGAGGATATTTAATACCTGATATTAAATGTTTTGATATTAGACTAACTCTATTTAGAAAATTACCAAGAAACAAAACTTCAATGGAAAACTAACCTGATACAATGCAAGCAGACCAGTTTGGGGATTGGTATGTAAACATGCTATTCCTTTACTGTCACTAGTAGCTGTATTTGTATTTCATCTGGATTTTGCCAAATATCTATTCAATAAAGACCCCTCCGGGCCAGCAAACAAAAATATCTTTAATAAATCTGCAGATTTCTCTTAAGGGAGCAAATCTGCTATATGATTAATGTTTTGGACTAAAACTGTATTATTTCTACCTGGTATTTATCGTAATAACAAAAAGTATTAGTGAAGTAAAATAATATTCAGCTGTTCATACTTCAAAATAGAACATTATATAGCATTTTTGTCCCCAGTATACTTATCAAAATAAATATTGATGAGAAAATAAAACTTGAAAAAGGTCTAGGATAACATTTTAAAAGAAAGTTTAAAATAAATATACATGTGTCAAAGGAAGTAATTAAGTGTGTTCTGTTCTAATTGCACCAAAGAGTAATATTAGCGTTTGCTGGAGGCAGCGAGAGAGAGGAGAAGGAAAAAAAAAAGTAATCTGCTGGTTCACTATTGATCTGTTTCTATGCAGCATACCATAAGGGCTCCAAAGGCAGGAGTGATAAAAAAGGTTAATTTCCAAGAAGGTGCCCAGGCCAATAGACACGCTCCGCTAGTTGAATTTGTGGATGAAGAGGCCGAGTCAAAATAAAATTCAAGGAAGGTGCATTTTATTTTTTCTACTTTGCTGATTTTTCTCTCAGGAGAAGATTTCTTCATATTTTCAGCAAACTGTTTTGTATAATAGATGGGGGAATTGGTTTCCTCTGCACTTCCTGCATAGTTTGACTGTAAATTATGCTGACTTTACCGAAATTTGGATATCACTATACTGTAATCGTATATATAACTTGTGGACGTACGTGATTGTTGTTCAGTGGTTATGTTTGCCTGTGAAAAGGCATTAGACTGGAAGAAGATGTGGAACTCTTAAAGGATGGGAGAGGTTAGTAAGGACTGTAAGTTACAGACAGCTAGGGTTCTTTTGCCTACTTTGTCATTCACAGCTGCCTTTTTTCCCTGAGATGTGAAAGCATTGATTTGAAGGAAATCTGAAAGGTGACAGTTGTTTTGTGAATTCATTTCTCTGGCTAAATTCCTGTTTGTGGCTTATGCTTTTGCCCAAATAAGGGAATTCAGGATTGTTCCTTAGCCCAGGATCCCTCTCTGCCATTTTTGGTGCATCTTTTTTCCCCATTTACCTCAATGAGTAGTGAAAATTTGCATTTCAAAAATTATTTTAATATACTTTGAAATATCTGATACAAAGCATTTTTAAAATACATATTAGCATTTGCTACACTAATCAAAGCTGGAATGTAACTGCTTTCCAAAATATCATTTGATCTTTAAACATGGAGTAGTAGCACAGAAAGATAAGCTTACTTAATACTTAGAAACTGTGCCAAAATAAAATACTGACTTCAAAATCCTCGTTACTTTTCCCATATTGTTCACTTTCTAATATATTACTTATTGGCTGGAATGAAGTATACCAAAGTCTTTATAACAACATGAAATATGACTAAGAATAATAGTCAGATTTTTTTTTTGAATCTGCAGTGTTGCAGAAGGGAAAATTGGCAGTTTTTTTGATATGCAAAGAAAATATTTCTCAGACGCAGCATACTGATCATTTGCCATAAATTTATTTTAACTTGTTTAAAAAGCACCTCAGAGAAACAGGAAAAGGGAAAGAAACCCCACACACACGTTTTAATTGTTGCAAACTTGCAAAATCTTTTCACCTTTTAGTTAAGGTGAAGTTCTGCTTGTCATATGAACTTTTGATATACTAACTTCAGACGATAGCATGGTTTATACTGCAGAAAGGAACAAACACAGATGCTGCAGTGATCCCAAACTTGTAGTTACGTCTGTGCAAATGGATCCTTATACTTACCTGAAATCTCATCTTTAAATCAATATACAATGTCACGGGGAATTCTCTGATCTGATTCTACAACTGTGCCGTGTTGCCTGCAATGCAGACAAAAATTGTAAAGAAGTAATGGCTCTGGATGGTCTGTATATTAAAAGCATACAGTAATACTTTTCAATTTTCCTTGTAATCCAATAGCCACCTAACAAAAAATTATACTCTGGTGATCATCTTGTAGAATATTGCCACAGTGATTTTTCTTTACTGCCAAATAAAAATTAAGCTTAACTTTGAATGTTTGTTTTCATTTTTCTCCATTTTGTTCTTTCCTTGGTTGCTCATGTTATGCATTAGAGGGTTTTAAGCAGCTGTTTATGTATCATCATCTGATATCTGACAGACCACAATCTGCAGATCACATTTAGGAGGCAGTAATCCAGTCATAATGGGTTTCACTGCAGGTAAGTTTAGTGACTGTTTTATATAAAAATTGAATCTACGTGTAGAAACGTGAACTCAGTCCTGAAGAGACACTGCAGCTTGGCATTTATTTTTTTCTTTCTATGTGACATTGCTGTGTTTCTAGACCTACTTTGCTACACTGAACCTGTAGCAAAACAATAAAACTCACAGCATGAAGTTCTCTGTCCCCTAAATCTGCACTGCTTGCTTCATGCAGCCAGTGAAACGAGTATGTTCCTTGGAAGCTGACAAAATGTCTCCCTTAGGAATATAGGGAGACAAATAATTTTACCAGTTTTAATTTTCCCTCACTTCTGAAAATCAGGTGTTAGGTTTTTTCTCTGTAGGCTTCCACTGAGATTGATTTTTTCAAATAGTGATGGCTTTGTTTATTTCAGAATAAAATGTCTTGCAGAAGTCACTGTCAGAATTTGCACACTTGAAACGTTTTGCTGTAGTGTGATTTAATTGAACTTAGAGATGCGCAAAGAATTGTTAAAGGTAGGTTGTTCCTGTATCTCAGAATTTTAATTTACAAAATATTCAGAAATTTTCTGTTTATTAAAAATAAATCCTTGTGTTATAAATGTGAATTGATAAGAGCCATATGATAGTAACATAGCTGTAACTAAACTGTTGTCTGTAGAACACTTAGTGGTAGAGTAAGAAAGAAAAAAATCGGTAATTGTTTAAAATGCAATATTTTAGTATTCGAGCTAAAAGGATAATCTCTGACAGTTATTCGTTATCAATAAACCTTTTCAAATAGTGCTGTAGTTCTGATACAAGAGTCATAGGTATTACAGAAACAAGGAATCTGGACTGACTTCTAATTGTAATGATCTACTCTTGCTGCCAGAGGAGAGAGGGGACCAGGTCACGGGATATGTAGTTCAGCCACAGTTGATAGTCTACAGGAAAGAACAAGGGCATTAGTGTTCCAGACTATGGCTCCTGTGAGACAGGATCAGGGAGTAACACTCTCGGTGAGCGTACTGGTCAGCTTGTTATATCAGGTATGTAACAGCCTGCTTGGTAGTGTGAATGTTACCATACCAAAATGACAGCCCTTCATAACTTTAGTTATCCACCTGTGGGGATCGCCATCTCTCTTGCACTCTTCAGCTGCTGGCAGTTACTATAGCTTATACCCAGTGAAGATCTGTGGTGTGGAGCCTGAATTCTTGCTGAATCAGTGATGAGGACACAGGGAGTAGAAAGCAGGAGAACAGGACTGTGTTCTCATTTCAGCCACTGACTCACCGTGACTTCAGGCAAGTCACTTAGTAGATACTTGCCTGTGTTTCCTCCTATTTAATGAAGCTGATGGTAATCAAAACACTGCAAAATTTGTGGACGTGGTGATTTATAAATAATTATTTCCCATGCTTGCTGGTAAAATTGTAATTTCAGATGTAGACTTTATTTTTACTTGTAAGATTATTTTTTTACCTTTTATACAGTAAATATCTATACCACTGAATTGTAAAAATAGAGTTTCCAATGTGTATTTAATCCTTTGTTGTAGTGGTTGTAACTACCTAGTTACCAGAAAATCCTAGCTTCTGTCTTCATGATGATTAAAAAATAAATACTCAAGTCAGTGGTAGGGAGAAAAAAAAAAAAAGTTGATCTGAGCACGCTACTCTTTTATTAAAGCAACTTGTACCTATTTTAAAGGGCCTATCAACCAGTGCACTCATCACAGGTATATTCATTTCTGTTGATTATTCTTCTGTTCGGTTGGATCAGGAATTATTTGACTGTGTTCTATCTGTTGTGTTTGTAAAAAGCTCAGCAATGCTGTGTAGAACGTGCTTACTGAACAGTCAATGGCAATAGATTAAGGTCTGAACTTACAGCTTTTACACAACGTATGTTCTCAACAGATACTTTAACTGCTTGTACGGTTATGTTCAAAATGATAGATTTTTATGCATGAATGATTCACAGGTGAGTATCACTTAGTATCTTTATGATACTGGGGCATACCTTTCTGCATAAGAATTCAATTTGGAAAGTAATATACACTACTGAGTGTCATATTAAAAAATCAATATTGCAGAAATTAATAATTGAAACCTTGGCATTTATTTTGATGTGGACTGATTATGTTTCTTGAAAGAAAAGAGCCTGGGCTCTAAAAGCAATGCAATATCTTTAGTGAGACATTTGATGTTAGCTTAAAATCTGTTGATTATACGATGAATCCACATTAAAATAAACATGGATGTTCTGGTTGAATACCCTTTATTTTTTATTACAGCAGTAATAAGCAAGTAAAACATGTCTAGAGTCCTACTGGGTTTTGAAATTATGATGGTAGCTGGGTTTTAGCTTTAATCTGTTTTCCATATAAACAGTTCTGGTGCCAAAAAGTTGTTCCTGAAATGATAATTGGTCTCTGTGAATGGCAGCCAATCTACTCACTTAAAAAGTAAAGAAAGCAGGAGATGTTAACTTACCACAGCCAGCAAAGCTCCAAGGAGTGTCTGGTGAAAAAGCCTGCTGCTGCGAGCTCCATCCCTCTTTTGCCTCTCTGGAAAGGAAGGAGACATCTTATTCTAGGCTCTACTGTTTTGCTTACTCATCAGTGTGCACTGGCACACACAGAAACAGTCAGTCATAAATACTGGTATGATAACTGCAGCCAAAGACCCCGCACATGTTCAGTGTCCTGCGCTAAGCATCCCAGAAACATAAGACATAGCTCCTGCTCTATAGAGTTTTAAAATGAGATAAAATATGAACTAGAATAAACCAATTTAAAAACAGAACTGTTATATACAGATGTGGTTAATGCATGTTTTCCTTGAAGTCTGCCCCACTGTATTGATGTTGATAGCCAGTAACGGGCATGGAGGTTACAATTTGCCATGTAGATATCAGAAAATTAATATTGGCTGGGTTGCGTAGACATGTTCCCAGAAACTGTTATGACAGTGTGAGGAGTGGAAAAGGCTAAATGTGTGTGACACGTATGGCAGGAGGTAAGAGTCATTTTATTACCCTTGCTTTGTACGTCTGCATTACTCTTGCAGACTGCTTACCTCAAGGCAAAAGGCTTGAGGTACATGCCTTCTATACATGTAACTTAAATTACTGTTTTGTATATTAATAGCAAAATGTGTGCTCTGAATTCGGATGGCTTATTTTTATTAAGTTGAACAATTAAAGATGGCACATATAGAAAATTCCTGTGATAGGGAAATAATAGTGTGTCTCAGTCTCCTAGATTTTTGAAATCACCCGTAATTCTTTGTAGTGAGAATGGAGAGCTGTTTACAGTTATAAGGTGTAGGTTTTAATCATGAAATCATAGCTATGATGGTACGGTCTGGTTTATAGCTTGGGAAATTTCAAATCATTCTGTTTACAAAGATCATACGTTGTTTACAGTTCTGAACTAAGGAAATGTCCGTATCTCATAAAAAACAACTATCTATCTCAATTTTTATTGCCCTCTCGTTTCTTAATTCATATTACTTAAAATGCCTTGATTTTAGTATATGTATCTCAGTACTTATGAGTTCCAAAAAAATACAAAAGTCTTGCAGTCTGTTGCGCGTTTAGGTGTCCTGGAAAGTCTCAATTTATTCAGGCCTGTCAGGGTATAGTTAGGTACATGAGAAATTTTCAGACTTTCTTAGGCTCACTGACCTGACTTTTCTTCCTTTGTTACGTAAACCTGTCCTGCTCCCTCCCAGAGATACTCACATCGAACCCAGCTCCTAACAGTGCCTTCGACTGGGTGTAGTAACTTGTTAACCTCTTGCGTAATGCAGGAAGGATGAAAAACTTAAAAGAAGGTGAACACCCTTCCCTGCTATTAACAACAATCTTCAGATATTGGCGATATGCCAGTTTGCAGGTTAAATTGCTTAGACACCTACAGGAGGACTCAGGCTGTTTACTTCCTCTGTGCTGCTTTCAATACAGAAAAAATTATATAGGCTGATACAGACATTCCAACCGCATCAGTTGAAGAGCGGGATAAGAGCAGACCATTGGGTCTGTACCTGTGGATGCTAAGAACTTTGTGCCTTTAGAGTGGCATTAAATTTCCTTGTGCAGGATAGTTCATGGGACTTTGTTCTCTTAGTTAAACATGTGGTCAGTGTTTGCAGGGAAAGGGCCATTAGTCGTAACCACTTTATGGCTATTCCATCAGTGTAAGATAAATTGGTGGTTTCACTTTCTAGAGCATAAAGTAGCTGACAAAAAGATGTGGTGGTTAGAAAGACATTTCCAGGCCAAGCTGTTCCAGGTTACTGTTACCCTTCATGAAGCTTTGGGTCTCTTCCTCAGAAAGTGCTCTAAGTGGAAGTTCTCAGCAAGGGGATTACACTAAATGGATTCTGCATTGATTTAACGTTAGACTTCTCTGTCTGCTCAAGTCAGTGTAAAACAGATCAATGTTCTATTCAGAACTATGCGTTTGACACACCTGGATTTAAAAAATCACTGACTGGTTCTCCTAGGGTTCACATGCGATAAAACATCATTGGATCACGCAACAAAACAAGGCAAGTGTGTCAGCCTTACCATAAATTAAACAAGTCATCATGTTACTGTGGTCACAGTGATTATGCTGCATGCAGACTGCACAATGAATAATACTTCCTTCTAGTCTGTATCGCTGAATGTGTGTGTCATGTTTACAAATAGCAGAGCTGTTTATCACTGGTCTGACTTGTGTGCCATCCTGGATGGAGACGTACAAGAGTTCACACGTAACAAGCCCAATTTAGACAACTTACTCTGAATATGTACAAATACACTTTTTGGCAGCCTCATGGTGCCTCTTGCTTTACAAAGCATCTATTTTTGCTCAGAATTGTTAAGGGTGAGATTCAGACGGCACACACGTCACTAAAGTGCAGATCTACATCTGCAGATGTACAGCCAGCAAGCAAGCATATGGATATGAGTGGAATTGGGGCAATCTGACTGTGTCCTGAAGCGTGTGCTGTGTGGGATATGCCTACTGCAGTGTACCATGTACGGAGAAGATAACTCAGACAGTCTAATCAAACTACCTCAGGCTGAGGCACTAGATAGCCTGGCCGTGGTAGCCAAGACCTCTGGGCAGGCTAACTTACCTTAGCTTCTGCAATTCAGACATACCTATGGAAGCACTCTGGAAGTCAAGACAGAAGAGCATATGGTAACTTCCACTAAAATCAGTAACACTAGACTTCCAACTTAAATGGCAGTAGGAAGTCATTCCTGTTCTTTTCTCATGTACAGTTTCACCTTATAACTGAACTTAAATGGAAAAAAAAAGGGCAGGCTAACTTACCTTAGCTTCTGCAATTCAGACATACCTATGGAAGCACTCTGGAAGTCAAGACAGAAGAGCATATGGTAACTTCCACTAAAATCAGTAACACTAGACTTCCAACTTAAATGGCAGTAGGAAGTCATTCCTGTTCTTTTCTCATGTACAGTTTCACCTTATAACTGAACTTAAATGGAAAAAAACCCCACCATAAAACAGTAGCATGCACACTGGGAACAGCATTAATCTGCATTTCACATTTTTTTATATCACTTGCATTTCACTGAATCATTCATTTCTATCTGCCCTGCTGAGAAGCCCCTGCGAAGCAGTTAAGTATGATTTTCCATACCTTATAAAATGGGAGTTCATAATGTAGAGGAATTTAGTAAGAGAGATCAAATCACAAGTCAGTCAAAGCTGGAAGCAGAGTCCGAATGTCCTGACTCCTAGGAAAAAAAAGATGGTACAGCAGGAACAATTTCTGAACATTAAAGTACAGAGAACAACTTCCACCAGACCTGCTCCTGCTATACCACACACCAGACGTGTGTGCCATCTGCCTGCACCCAGGCAGAAGATGAAAATAATGGATTGAACTGTAAGTTGTAGCAATGGTGACTTTTTCAATGAATGTTTTTAAAGTAAACATTATTTGAATGCATAAAATCAGGTCTTCTAGATAATACCTGTAAGTCTACTGATATAAGTAGCACCTTACTAAAACTTATGAGCACTCTTGTATGTGAAGTTCCTTGTGCTCTTAAATATTTGTAACGTCAGGCCTTAATTTATTATGAGTTTTAGATTAAACTCCTTTGAAAACAAAGCACCATGCTGATTTCAGTACCTAATTAGGACCTAAACAAGAAAAAGTTAAAACTAAATAGGTTTAGTACTTTATTGAGTGAACAAAAGAAGCAAAATGAAAAATAGAAATACTTTTTCAACATTCTTTTAAGTTAAAAGAATCTTTTGTACAACTTGTTAAAAGAATAGGTAAAACTAAACACAATGTGCTCTCAAACACACTCAAAAAGCCCCCAATAGACCCTGCAATATAGAAAACGAGCAAGTCACAGACATTAGGGAAAAACAAGCGACTTAAAAATCCTGTCTCTGTCCTGAGGAATCCACTGCAATCACAGTTCATCTCTCAGATTATTGTTACGTGTTGCAGTAATTCTCAAGAAGGTCTAATTTGTGTCTTCGGATTGCAGGAGGGCTGTCACAGCATGTTATAGTGATGGCAATTAGCTAACTCAATGAAACTGATTTTCAGGTTTGGCTTTGTCTCCCCTGCTGTGGTTCACATGGACTGGGCTGGTGTGCAATGTTGATGGCTGCTTACACTGGCCACTTTGCAGCTATCCTTGATTTCAAAAACATGCTTTTCAGAAGGATTCAAAGTATCCAGGCAACTAGTGTCTCTCAGGATAGCTGAATTCACACATATTTCCATATACTTAATATCAAGACAACCCTTATTTTTATTGTTTCAGAACACCAACACAATTGGGCACTCCACTGGACAGGCCTGATTCTCCTCTCCAAATACTGCTTTAACTCCTCACACTCCATCTAAGCTTAGCTCTGATTTTCAGTGAAATAATTGAGAAGCGATTCGGACCCTTTTCTAGAAAAACATACATGTAAGCCCTGTACATTCATCATGAAGAATGGCTTTCTGAAGTCTTAATTTCTTTGTGGTGTGTGCAATCATACCAGTCATGTAACATAAATACAGAAGCTTACTTTAACAGCTCCCAGCTCAGCAGCAGATGAGAGAACAAGAATCAGATCTCAAACCTTTGTCCTTCACAACTAGCAGTTTGCCACCACTGTGAGTTTTATCAGCAAATACTCTGCTTCCCCAAGCCTTCTCCCTGTCAAAAGTCTGCAGTAGATAGAGTAAACTTTCCTGGGAAAAAAACAACTGTCTGGGATACTGGTACAAACTGTGATTTAACCCTTACAACCTCTTTTGCTAGTACATCTATGCTACCGCAGAAAAGGCTTCATCTGTCGACAGCCACTTGGAAGCAACAGCTCCCCAAAGGGAGCCTCTAGCAGGAAAATCTTACAAGCGTAGAGGTGGTCCTGTAAGAAAATGCCTGTAAGACCGCTGCCCTCAGACTTCACCTTCCCCAGGTCTCCGTGGCTGCACAGCAAATGTCTTCTGCCTCCTTTGCGAATCCATCCTGAAAAGCCCACGGGCTTTTCATATCGCACCTCTGTTTAAGTTCATGCGTTGGGGCTGTGCATCTGCTTGCCCTCGACAAACACCGCGAAACACCTCTGCGAGCACGGCGTGGCAGGAACAGGCTGTTACACCACACGCGTTCACACGGAGCCCTCGCAAAATGTTTTACTTTTGGGTATTTAAGAAAAAAAGAACATAAGGAGTTTTCCCGACAGAAAAGCGGACGCGGGGTGACCGCG